TGTGTGTGTGTTTGTGTGTGTGTGTGTGTGTGTGCATGTTGCATGCGCATGCACTCTGTGTGCATATGTGTGCGTGTGTGTGTCTGTTGCACGACTCGTGGGCTTGGAGGCAGTAATCCAGTAGGGGGTCGTTCAAGCCCCTAGCCACGATGGAACGATGGGAACACGAAGGGCCGCTGCAGACAAGGCGGGTACTCAGGAAATTACCAGTACCGTGAAAAAATGTGGGACGGCCATCAGGAAATGACCAGTACCGTGAAAAAATGTGGGATGGCCCGGTACCTGGGAGCCGACACACAAGTGCCTATAAGTAACTTTCACTCTGACCCGACTGCCGGCCTCAGTTACAACCGCCTTTTTGAACTTAGGCCATGAGAAAGTTGCTGGGTCATGTTTCTTTGCCAATTGCAAACTCTGATCTGACATGAACGTACTTCCCTCTTTTTTTTTCTTGGCCTTTTCCTTTGTGTTCTTCTGCAAGCAGGTACGGGAAGCTAGTGTCCGCCGCCCGGTAGTTAGAGCCTCGCCAAGGCTTGGCATACCGGCCAGCCGAGGCTCGGACTCCATAGCTGGCCAAGCACTGGTGGTTTAATATGTGAGCGGTGGTCCATCGGCCCACATGCTATTAATTAATTCTTAGGGAGAGGGGGTGGCCGGGGGGGAACAAGATAGAGTTCGCAATTGCACTTCGGGTACCCTACCTGGCCAGAAAGCTGATTTGTATCCATTGCCGGAATTGCAATTTGAAACTGTATCTTGGCCCATGGTGCAATTATAACTCATTTTCGTGACTCCCATGTAGTGTCCCCAAAACTTATTTACCAAATTTAGAATAACAAAACCAAGTTAAAAAATAATTGTTCTCGTTTTTTTCTTTTTTTCGTTCTTGCCCGTCCAGGCATGTGGTCCCGACTCCCCAGCCAGTCTTGTAGCCAGGTTCCCTATCTCATTTCTAAATTAAGATTGTGAATGTCCACCTGCATATGAGCCCCCTTTTGGGTTATACACAGATTAAGGGCCTCGCCAGACGGTGCAAAAAACGAAAAGAAACGACCTCGCAAGGCCTCGCCAGGTCAAGAATCACCGTTTTGACTCGTTTTTTGCACCACCGCCGCACGGCACACGCAAATTCCCTCGCGGAAAGGGCTTCACCCGCTTCAAACTTCTCTCGTAACACCTGACACATGCAAAAGTGAATTTTTTTGGACGGACAGCGTTTGGACTGACGTGCTGGACTCGTGAAAAACCACAGGTCCTCCACCAGACCAGCGGAGGACCTACGAGTTCGTGCGCGTTACAGGCGGGGAGGGATGGAGCACATGCGCAACCTCACGAAATGTAACTCTGACAACTATCGTCGGTTTTTCCTGACAGGAATCGTTTGGAGACTGTGCGGCGACACACTCACGAGACGAAGTCTTTTTTTTTTTCGTTTTGTGTACCGTCCAGCGAGGCCCTAAGAAAGGGGCAGCACGACTGACAGACTGAGCAGTGCCACACAACCGGGCTACGTGGCAAACACGTGTGTGTGAGCAAAACAATGTCGTGAAAAACTCTTATGCAGATACAGCGTGGAAAATGCCGAGAGACTCCTTTGGGACATCCCTTAAACTTGCAATGATACACAGAAAGAAGATTAGCATGGCCCCTGCATAAGGATGACACGCATAAGACGCAGAGAGAATGACCCTCGCCTCACAGCTCACCAATCTTGAAAATGTTTGCTGAGTGCTCACCAACACAGCCACGCATCAAGCACCACCTCACCAGACCCAGGCCCCGCCGCACCACCTCACCAAACTTCTGTTTCGAAGGAATCGTGTGCCTACAGGCTCACTAAGGACAAAGGAAAAGGACAAAAGCTATGTCCAGACCAGCAATCTGGACGGGTGGGAAACTCACCAAACAAGTGTGTGCCCAAAAGCTCCTACCAATTCAGCTGCGTGCCCAGCTCACTTGGCGTACTATTCTTTCGCCTTTTACTAAAGAATACCGTGGGCTGAGCACACTGAGCAGCTTACAACAATTTTTTATGGGCCCTTCGCTCCGTCGAAAAAAAAAAAAAAAAAAAAAAAGCTCCTACCAAATGGACGATTGGCAGGCTGGGAGTGCGTGCTTTTTTTGGTGAGCCGTCACCAATTGAAAGGGCGACGGCCTTGAGATATCATCATTAAACTGAACGGCCCCAAGTAATTCAGAATGTATTTGTTCAGGTGATCTGACTGTATCTGGATTCGAACTTGGGTCTGTATTTCAACAGTGCATGGGTGTACCAACTGAGCTAAATAGGACTACTTTCTGACGAAAGGGAATTGGTGAGCGAGTGCGGGCATGCCTACCTCACGAAAAACCATGTTTGGTGAGTAGTGCGGTGAGGCCCAATTATACCACAACATGGGCCGCACTCAACGACTCTCTAAATGTGCAAAACAAGAGTGAATCTGCGTCTACAACCGGGGAAAAATACACCACCATGATTTTTGTCTTTTGTGGAGGTGGAGAGGAGTGGAGCGAGCCCCCATAGCTATGGGCATACACAGGGGACGCTCATACAAGACAAGGGCCGGGGCAAGAAAGAAAGAAAGAAATCCAAATACAGTGAATTCTGCCGCCGCCCAATAGGCTGGGACTAACTTCCCGCCATCGCGCCCGCACATCATGCAGTGCAGACATTATGGCCACGAACTTCACCCCGATCAGACAGTAATAATGCCATGCTGAAAAGGAATTAAATAAATAACGCAGGGTGTAGTTAAATCCACTGAGAGACAGACAGACAGGACATGAGAACAGTCTTCTCTGCAATGCAAAAAATTGTCCATTCACAAAGACCCAAAGAGGTGCAACTTCATAATTTCAAGGGGTAACTAGGGTGCAGTCACGAAAGCAGTTTCTAAATGCATTTCAATCTGCGTTTTTTAATTCCAGTCCCGTCGGAAGTTTACTAGTATAGAATAGAAACTCCCCTTTGCAGAAAAGTCACACCGCGAAGTTTGGAACTGCACAGTTCAGTCAGGCAGGTGGCCCGTTTTTTTTTTTTTTTTTTTTCTTCCCAGGCCCTCCCTCCCACCACCCCCCTCCTAAAATCTCGGCCGTGGCCAATCTGGGGTGTGGCCGAGACATCTCGGCCATGGCCAACGGCCGTGGCCAGACCATAGGGCTTTTTTTGTTTTTTCAACTTTTTGTTTTTTCTAGCCACGGCACGATGTGAGACAAAAAAAAAAAAAAGAAGAAAAAATGCCACACGAGCCACGGCATGGCGTGCAACCGGAAAAAAACAAAAAAGAAAAAACGGGCACCTGCCTGACTGAACTGCAGTTCCAAACTCCGCGGTGCGACTTTTCTGCAACTGCAAAGCGGAGTTTAGACTGGCAGTGCGTAGTCAATTCCCCACGGGACTGAAATTTTAAAAACTGCAGTTTGTACTGGAACTAACAACTGCAGTTTGAAATGCATTTAGATAGTCAAACGATGACCGCGCCCTAGTTTTCTCTAATTTCATATAGCAAAACTTTCTTGTCGGCGACTTCTTTTTTGCCGAGGAGAAAACTAAATAGGATAGAAGCAATCCGGGAAAAAAAAAAAGAGCGAGAAGAAAGCAAGCAGCAGAAGAGCACGAGGCGGCGCTGAGGACCCAAAGAAGCCAAAAAGGAAAAATTTCCGAAAAAACAAAAGAAGAAGAAGAAGAAGAAGAAGAAGAAGAAAAAGAAGGAGGACTAATTGTGAAGACGACACCTGCGCATTTCCAGCTTGTGCATGTCTCAGCATGCTCGCGCACAGTTACGCCCCCCGTCCCGGGCCCCACTCAAATCCATTTTCCTCTGACAAAAGAAGGACAGCACACAGAAAGGAAAGGAAACGAAACAAAAACAAAAGAAACAAAAAACAAAAAACAGAAAAAGAAAGAGAGGAAACGAAAGAGGCACAGATGGTGGGTGACAGACGCAGATCAATGGCGATTTTGTGTACAACTCTCTTTGTTTTTTCCTTTTATATTTTTGGAAAATAAGATTTTCATCACGTCCGCATGCAGCTCTTTGTTTTTTCCTTTTATATTTTTGGAAAAGAAGCTTTTCATCACGTCCGCATGCAGACGTGAAATCCAAACCGTGTCCGCAGTCGGACGTTCCGCAGGGCCGAGGTCCCACTGGCGCCTGAATCTGGACGGGATGTTGGAGCGACTGCGGAAAATCATAATAGCATATAGCATATCAATCAAGCGCAATTTTCTCCCCTGCTCCCACAACCACGTCCAGACTCGGGCATAATATACTCGTGGACCAATCCTCGGTTGCAGAGACGACGCATACGTCGACTCGAATCTCAGTGAAACTAACTTTGTGAACCAACTGTTTTTTTTTTTTTTGAAAGTTTTTTTTGGGCATATTTCAATCCTTATATATATCTTGTTTAAATATGGTAACAATACTAATATAAACATGCAAATACGCAAGACAGTTAGCGCATCTATACCTCACACGAGGACTTTTTATAGTAAGCTCTGGACGTGATTGCGGTCTGGTTCATCCACGTCTGGTCGTCATTGCAGTCAGATGCATCGAGGAAAGTACGGCTGTCAGTATGCCTGTAAACCAATAGATAGACAATTACCTCAACTTCATCATCATGCTAAAAATACCGACATAATGCCATGAGAAGAAAAAAAACAGTAAATAACTTAAAAACTAGTATTGCCAATTTTACGTTTTTTTTTTTTTTTTTTTCTTCCCCCCACACAATCTCACTTTTGGGGCCTCAGTTTCCGTTCTGGTCATTGAGCGGCAGGACTTTCGCATTCAATCGAAACTCGGATATCATCGAGGAGCCGTCAAAAAAAAAAGAGGAAATACATATACAATTTGGAGTGGGAAAGACCTCACAGTCGGCGACGATGAAGAGCAACAAAGAAACACCAGACGAACGAAATAAAAAAACAAAAAACGAAGGGCAAAACGGGGCCAACGCGAGAGAGATTTCGGTTTTTTTTTTTTTTTTTCCCATCACCTCTGTTTTAAATTCTTGATAAAAACGATGTCAACCTTCGTGTCCTATTGCAAAAGGACTCGACTCCCTTTTCATGGGGACCTTCCAGTGCGCGCCGGACGGAAGAAAAATACAGTACTGGACTCGTTATCCAGCTTCGCTTCGACGCAATACTCCCGGGCCGCCAACTGTCCCACAAATATCTAGGCTAGCACAACACAACCAGTTATAATAATAACGATCTATTGATTTATGAGCCGGATTTTTTCACCGGCAGCTGGGGTTGGTCTAGTGAACGGGAAATTCAATAGCATGCCAAGCCACTGCATGTCTTCATACCATCGAGGTTAGCAACGCCCAAAAATTATCTGTCTCAGTGCAACCCACCGCTATCACCCAGACTACCGGAAGGGTGCTGTCAGCATGGATTGCTACGGACTGCCAGTCTTTTTCAGTGTCGGAGGGGGGACAATCCAGGGCTATCCCCATCCCCATGCTGCAGACATGCTATAGGTTGTCCCCTCTGTTGTTTCAGCACTCCGGAAACGGGCAGGAAATTAATTTATATCGACGACTATAGCATAGAGTGCACGTGCAGGTCCGAGTGCCCTGGCACTTCCACTTCGAATTGCGGGTGCAGCGGACACTCTTCTTCAGGTAATCTTTGCAGTAGGTGCCGCAAAGGCCCGTGCACTCGTTGACGCTTTTATAGCGTCGGGTGACTGTTATAGTCTCTGCCTGGACATTGGCGATCATGGTAGTAGAAAGCGCGCAGAGGACGAGAAGCAAAATGAGGACCAGCTTGGTTGGCTGTGCCACCATCTTCTTCGCACCCGTGCTGTTCTCCTTCTCCCTTATGGAAGCGACCCCTTGTCCTGCTGGCGGACTTGGTCTTGTGATCCTGGCTGGGGCAATGACGAGTCAATTGCTCTGGAAGCGACTTCAAAGAAGGGTTTATACGTCCATATGCTGCACCCAGCCACCCACACACAGCAGCGCACACGAAGAAGACGAAGAAATGAGTCAGCAAGAAGACATACACGCAAGTGAGTGGGCAGATTGGCCCTCCGACGGCCGAAGAAAACAAACGAGCTCTGAGAGGGCGAAGGGCAGGAGGAGGAGTGGGCACTTGGGGCACAGAGAGGGTCAGGGATGATGTACAGAGCAGTGAGAGCATGAGGGTAGGTCGGCAACTGCAAAAAACGCCGCCTAACCAATGCCAATGCCGATATACATGATACACAGAAATTAGAAAGAAAGTCGAGGAGAAGAAAGTGGGAGTGCAATCACCAGAGGGCATTTTGGAACTTGCACGACTTGACAATTGCAGCACAAAGTGAAAGTACTTCCGTCCATAAAGCCGTGCTGTGTGGTGCGGGAGCGGAGCGCCCGAGGCTACCTATCTAAGACTAAGGGCCAGCAACAAACCAGCACGTTTGAAGGCTTTTGAAGCGCATTCACACGGATAGGATGGGAATGGAGGGGAGAATTCCAAGCTCCGGCGAGGAAAGAATGGCACACATGAATGCAGCAGCACTACTACCGTCGGCCCGGCAGGACACCGCTGTCCTCCTCCTGGGATATGGCAGCCAGTGGAAGGATCCCGCGATATGGCAGCCAGTGGAAGGATCCCGCCGGCCCGGCAGGTCTCGCTTACTGATCAACCCCAAAAGAGGAGGGTAGCCTGACGCAGCGTACCTTTTTTTTCAGTGGGGAGGTTGCGCTCTTGTTGGCTCTCCTGCGGATGCAACTCTACCCGAAAGTTGGAACTCCTCTCCGTTCGGTCCTTGCATATATATTTAGGTTGTTTCCTTCCTGCTCTCAGGCCTCGGGGTCTATGCCTCTTACTGTAGTATTATTGCCCTGAGGGGGTATTCACACCAGCTCGACCTTCGATGTTATCTTACGGCCTTTAGGGGCCGACGCCAATGCATCTGAGCGCAATTACGCCCCCAGAGAAGTTAAAAAAGTCCTTCTGTGAGTGCTCCCTAAGGGCATTCTCATGAGGACTTTTTTTTTTTTTTTTTTTTTTTTTAATTTGGACCATTTCTCGATTTATGCGTGTCATCCTTGCGCAGGGGTCATGATAATCTTCTCTGTATCGTTCCAATTTTAACGGATGTCCCGAGGGACACATGAGGACTTTTTTACTTATTTATGGACGTATTTATAGGTGATTGTTTCCACATCCCCGCGGCCAAGTGTCCACCCTTGAAACGGAAGTGCAGCCCAGCCAGATCAACCATCCCAAGGGTGACTAGAGAGGTCACTTGGGCGCAAGGGCTGGACCCCTCAAAACGGGTAATATACGGACCTTTTTCTTTTTCTTTTTTTTCCCCACCAATGACCCCTGTTCCTGCTGCAATGCAGTCAGCACTTCATGTCCAAGGACGGCCTTCTCTACTCTCAAGGGTTTCGTCAAGGGGTTGTGGAACGAGGAAAAGAGGGGTTAGGGGAAATTAATCACCTTCCCTGAGTTAGGGCGCCCTTGAAACTGAAGTATTTTCAAGTGGTGTAGAAGGAGGCCCTAAGTTTCAAGAACAGCCTTCTCAAGGGTTTCGTCAAGGGATTATGGATAGAAAAAACATGTTGGGGGAAATTAATCACCTTCCATGAGTTAGGGTGCCCTTGAAACTCAAGTATTTTCAAGTGGTGTAGAAGGAGGCCCTAAGCCCATCAGAACAGAGACATTTCAGTTATCCCAAGGTCAGTATTTTACATGCATTACCCAGAAAAGTAAGGGGATCTTTGTTCCCCTCCTCCTCTCCTTAACACCGGGCATGCTGGTGCACAGGAAGCTTCCGCCCAAAATCTTTTCAATCTGTTGGGGGTATGGCCAATCCCAAAAGAGGGCGGGATAGGCCATAGGCCGACTGGATAGAAGATTTTGTATTTTGCTTGCGGCTGTGGAATCATCTCATTGGATGGAGCCCTCCTTCTATCACCGAGCATGTTGAGGGAGTCATCATCATTGCCGACAGTAGTCGAGTTTATTGGGATAATCGGTAGAAGCCGCCCACGCCAAAACCTTTTCGGTTTTGGGCACCCGAAGTTTAGCCGTTTGGTACTACCGGCCCGATGACTTCTATGTGGGGTACTACAGGCCCACGTGTCGCTCCAAGGGCCCTACCGGATCATGAATCTGGGACATAACAGAGCCATATTCATTTTGATGTAAAAGAGGCCGGAGGCGGTAACGCTGAAGTATCGAATGAGGCCCAGGTACACGATTTTGAAAAAGAAGGGCCCTACCGGTTCATGAATCTGGCGCAGAAACAACCCCAAATTCTTGAACCGGTAAGAACAGGCCCAGGGAGATGTGGCCASGGCGCGAAGGCGCCTTTCACCCAGGGGAAAATTGTTTGGGCCGGTAGTACGAAACGGCCGAACTTTGGGCGGCCAAAACCAAAAAGGTTTTGGCGTGGGCTCTTTCTACCAATTATCCCGAGTTTATTCCAGAAAAATGTGGCCCTTCACCGTTGTTGCAACCACCACCATCAGATCATGTGTGATCTAATGGCTGGGAAGCACTCTGCCCTGATTTGCTGTGGGAGGTATCTGTTTCTTTTTTTTTTTTCCTTTGCCAGGGTGCTGCCACACAGGCCGCTACTGCTGTGCAAATAGCAAAACTGCAAAGCTGTTCAACCCTCCCTGGACTGGGTGGAACCGTGGAAGAACCCCACCACCTCTCACGCAGTTGGCCTCACTCCACTTAAGGCCAGATCTTTTGGTTTTGCATCCAGAATTCTGTTTTCGTTTAATTTCGACTCCTGTAAGCATAGGAATTGAAGTTTGTTCTCATCCACGACTTTAAACGGCTTCGCTTTCTTCTACCACCCGAATCTACCAACCCCCTCACGTTCCAGGATTGGGCTTTAACACTAACCATTTGCGTTAGCGCTTGCCATTCGGGACTGGATCCGGACCGAGGGAAACGACGACCTGGATGGTGCGGGTTTGTTACCTGCTGCTGCTGCACCCAGATCCCATTTCTGCATCAAGACCGAGCAAAAAGCCTCAGATGTCAAGGACCTGGCTTTCGGTATTTTTGTGGAAAGCTTACCTAAGACCGAGGCATCTACACCATCAAAGACCGTTATTCTACGTAGGTTCGGGTGCTCCTCCTGGGCGAACCACTCGATCGGGATAAGGGTTAGACCACGGCCTACCAGGGTACTAAGCGACTCCTGGGATATTCGAGCATCCATCAGAGGTACGTATAACTTAGCCTTAACACCATCCTTATCCCCGAAAAATTTAGGGATTGGGATAGGATATCGGAGATGCATCTCACCGCTATGTCTCGTCCGAAGATACGACGATTGAGGTTGATTATTTCCAGGGGCATAGGAGGGCCTGGGATTTCCAACGATGGTAAGATGGTTACATCGGGGGAGATCGTCCACGCCAAGACAAAGGTGCCTAATTGAGCCGCCATGAAGAGGAGGGGAGGCAGATGCTTCATCCAGGTTTGCTCGTCATTCTTTGTCAGCTGCCTTCGATCCCTCTTCATAGATGCTTTTGTACCCCTGTGTTGCTTTCTTCCACCTTCTGATCTGTCTTGTTGTGAAGTCGCTTCCGACGTTTCCGTGTTGTAGTCGTCTGCGCCGTCTTGGATCTTCAGTTCCTTTATGTCTTCGCTTAGTCTTTGTCTGAGCTTCGTTGGTGTCGTAGATGTTCCTGGTCCATCCTTCGCCTCCTCCTCCTGGCAGTCCATACGCCTTGCTTGCCCCCCTGCACTCGGACTTTGTAGGTGAGCTTCTTTGCTTCTCCCGAGATTCCTTTGGTCCATGACTCCACTGATATTGCCAGAGTGGTTCCCCCTAACCGGGGGAAAAGCCCCTCCAGCCATCGGGGAGAAAATGGGGTTATGGAACGTGGAAGTTGCCGGACCCCCTCTTTGGTAAGCCACGCCGCCTTGATCCCCTGCTTTTAACTCTCCCTGCAAGTTGTACACCGGGGACTTCTGTCTACCCTGGGTAGACTTGGCAGAGGATGAGCTTGAGTAGAAAGAGTGTTCTGCCCCTAGGAGGAAAACAAGGAGGAAGCTGCAGCAATGAAAGCCGTTGGGGAAGCGGAAGAGAGAATTGCAGCTCTTCCTGTACGGGCGGCAGAAAGTTTGGCACGATGGTGGGGCATGGAAAGGGCTAGACGTATGAAGAAATGGGACAAGTTTTGCCTTCGGGTCACATCGAAATTCTTTACCAATTTTTAAAATAAAAAATAAAACTAAAGATACCCCAATTAATTTTTACTCTATTGGCATAATTTGCAAAATACCCCTATAAGTTGAGATATATGCCAAAATGGACCCTGAAAGATGTGGGTAGAGCAGAATGCCCATTTGGGACTAATTCAAAGTTTGCAGTCTGTGCCGCTGCCTCCAACTCCTCCCCTGCCCTTCGTCCAACTTCTTCTCCTTTGCCACTTTACCATGTCTGAGATCCTCTGGGGTCTCTCTCTCTCTCTCTCTCTCTCTCTCTCTCTCTCTCTCTCTCTCTCTCTCTCTCTCTCTCTCTCTCTCTCTCTC